GAGAAGCAGGCTCCCAAGGAGCAGGGAGCCCGATGCGGGACTCGATCCCAGGACTCTGGGATCATGACCTGAGCCGAAGGCAGACGCTTAACCGTCTGAGCCACCCAGGCGCCCCTGAGTTAACTGATTCTTAAACAGAGGCTCTGGAATACTTTTGCTCAGCCAGCTAGATGACGGTGTCTTGCTGCTGAAATGGAATCACAGTGAATCACGTAAAATAATGGTTATTGGGTGGTATTGAATACATTTTTGCATTTTTGTTTCATATATTTTTCTTTAACTTTTGGTTGCTGACCTTGAATATTCAAGCTGTAAATTAATGCTCTCTGAGAATCTCAGCATGGCCTATTGTGATCTGTTTAACTGCCGCCTTTTTCATGGTTTATATGTGCTAGTAGTTGTAGTTTTATGTTTCAGATATATAATGCGGTCTTATTTTTTTCTCTTTTAAGGTATTCTTAGTTTGTATAGTATAATTAAATAGTATCGATGACGTTCTCCATGGGCTCAAAGTTTGGGAGAAAGCACAATGGCTTTCAGGTCCTCGGCCACCAAAACAAATTTGAGAAGCATTGCTCCCAGTTACATATTAATTAAGCTACTGTAGAAAAGAAAATAGGAGAGCACTCCCAAAGTCAATTTCTGTTGAAGTGAAAAAAATAATGTCCCCAAAGACCTTTGTCTTCTATGCTTGTTTAAATTACCTTAAAAGTTTTTACTATTAAATTACCCATTAGATGAGAGGCTATTTTTGGATTGACTGCCCTATTTTAAGCACAGGCATTTATAAGACCCTCTTCTTGAAATGTGTTAAGGTTGAAAATTATTTGGTTGTTTGTAAAGGATTATTTCTAACCCAGCTGATGAGAGTGGCCAGATCTTGCTGGAAAATGATGTCAGTGTAATACTAGCTGAGCCGAAGCCCAGTTTGGAGGGAATGTAAACTACTTTCAATCCAGCTGCATTATTGATTTAACAGCCAAAATAAGAACTGTAGTGTTTAATCAAAATGTCTGTTGTTTACATAGTGACATTTTTCTTATAAACTTAAAACAGCACTAAATCAAGATGGAAACTGGTTTGTAATGCCCTGCCGTGGATTTATAGAACTACTGGTGTCAAAAAAAAAAAAAAAAGCTGCCAATTCCAAATGAAGTCGCTGCCAGGAGATTTTTAAATTAAGCGTTAACAGGCTGTATTTAAATGAGTTATTTTAAATGGATTAAAGTTTGATATTGAAAGTTTTTTGGGATTTTGGATTTTTGAATGAATATTCCGTTTTTTAAAACTTTTGTTGACTCCTGTCCCCTTATTGGCAAAGTTGCAATTTGCAGTTTCTCTGTTTTAACTTTAACTTTTGTTCTCATGGCCACATCTCCATAACAAAACAACTATCCAAATGATTTTACAAAAAAAAAATTTTTTTTAAAGATTTATTTATTTATTTGACAGAGAGAGACACAGCGAGAGAGAGGGAACACAAGCAGGGGGAGTGGGAGAGGGAGAAGCAGGCTTCCTGCGGAGCAAGGAGCCCGATGTGGGGCTCGATCCCAGGACCCTGGGATCATGACCTGAGCCAAAGGCAGACACTTATCGACTGAGCCACCCAGGTGCCCCACAAAAAATTTTTTTAACCTTTACTCCTTGTGACCCTTTACTAAATTTGTAACGGCATAGTAAGAGAGCAAGCAGCCTCTTGGTGGGTTTCCCTGCGTTCTAGTACTGCACCATCCAATAGGATAGCCACTAGCCACATGTAGCTACTAAGTATTTGAAATGTGATGTGCTATGGGTAAAATACAGAACAGATTTCAATGGCAGTACAAAAAGAATACAAAATTGCTGATAAATATTTTATATAAATTCCATGTTGAGATGATAATATTTTGGATATACTGAGTTCTATAAAAAAATCATGGGGACGCCTGGGTGGCTCAGTCAGTTAAGCGTCTGCCTTCGGCTCAGGTCATGATCCCAGGGTCCTGGGATCGAGTCCCACATCGGGCTCCCTGCTCCAATGGCTTTTATTGCCTTCTGTTTCCATTGGATGGCATTACTTTAAGTAGCCCTAAGTCCTTTTTCCTCAAAGTCAATATGCAACCTTAGTTAATGTATCTTTAAATTACATAAGATTTTATTTTTCTTTCACTGTGAGTGTGAATAATGAAGAAACTAGAAAGTTAGAATACTGCGAAATTTTCACCAATATTGGATATTTTTTACCTAATTCTTTTTTCCCCTGTTTTTCAAATTGCATATCTTACCGGCAAATTGAATGGATTAAAATACTCTAGGTATTTGTCTTATGATTAGGCTATTTACATAGAAATTAAATGAATATTTTTTCTGTATAAGTGATTACAAAACAAAGCAACTGATTTTCATAGATTGTTTTAAGATCCTTGTTCCCATATAAAAATTTACATTTCTCATTATATAAATTAATAAAACATTATTTTTTGTAAACTTTAATCCTTCACTAAAGAGTAAGATAAACTGGGTTTCATTTTAAAGAGAGTTCAAAAACTTTTCTTTCTTTTTCACCCCCTGATTTTAATCAGTCATCAAAGCCTTAGAGTCAATTTCCTAAATACTGTATTTTGAAAATTCTACCACCTTTCTTCATTTCCTCTACACTTTTGTGAGAGCTATCATTCTTTAGAGATTGGATGGTTTCCTAGCCTCCCTTCAAGCCTCTTCTGATCTCTTCTCCATTCTATAACTCTGCTGTTTCTTCTGAAATGCAAATATATCTCATTATATCATTTTCTTGCTTAAATCCTTCAACGATTCCCAATTACTTGCTGGAAAAGGTAGAAAATAATTAAAATGATTGAAACTACTTACATCCTCTATCCATCCTTCCTCTTCCTCTCCCGCAGCCTGGCCAAACAGAACTTCTTTTTTAAAATCTTTGTTTTTATCTTGTTCTCTCTATCCTCTGACCTTTGGCACCTGCTCTTCCCTTTGTCTGGAACACTGTTACTGCTACTTTCACCTAAATAAATCCTGCTTATCCCGCTGGTCAAATTACTTCTTCCAGGAGGACACTAGTCCTCTCTCCAATCTCTGCCCTTTCTAAGTCAGGGTAATTGTCATTTCCCATGTTTTCACAGTACACTTATTTCCCCAGCCCTCATATTTCTCACACTCTATTATTATTTCCTGTTTGTTGGGCTGGAATGTAAACTTCATGAGCCAGAAACCATGTACAATTTCTTAATGATGGTATCTCCACAGATACAATCTGTATCTGGGAATGAATAAGTATCATTTTTGAAGATTGAAGAATGAAGATGTGTTGTTTGTACAAAAAGAGGAAGCAAATACACCAACAGCTCAAGATTAATTCTTTTATTAAAGATAACAACATTTATTTTATTTTTATTTTATTATTCCTTTGATGAGACTATATAACTTCTTTAGAGATGAATTGCAATTTGAAATATATAATAATAGACACACACTAGATCAATGTCCACCTCGTGTGGACATGGCAAATTACTATTTATTAATTAATTTACAAGTTACATTATCTATATCTAGAAACTTTAAAATGATCATTCTAATATCTCCATTTGGAGTTCCCAGGCCACAATAAAATAGCTACTGGAATTATAACATGGAAAACCATTTGACTATGCCTTAGGCTGGGCAGCTCTGACCACTCATCATGGTTCCAGGGAGGAACTCCCTGGACTTTGTCTTTCCTCAGCGTCTCAGTTGGATACGTTATTAAGAATGGTTCTTGGCGCACCTGGGTGGCTCAGTAGGTTTAAGCATCCGACTCTTGATTTTGGCTCAGGTCATGATCTCACCATAGTGAGATCAAGCCACGTGACAGGCTCTGCACTGGGTGTAGAGTCTGCTTAAGATCCTCTCTTTCGGGGCACCTGGGTGGCTCAGTCATTAAGCGTCTGCCTTCTGCTCAGGTCATGATCCCAGGGTCTTGGGATCGAGCCCCGCATCAGGCTCCTTGCTCCAAAGGGAGGCTGCTTCTCTCTCTCCCACTCCCCCTGCTTGTGTTCCCTCTCTCACTGTGTTTCTCTCTGTCAAATAAATAAATAAATAAATGAAAATCTTTAAAAAAAAAAAAAGATCCTCTCTTTTCCTCTCCCTCTGTCCCTCCCCGCTCCTCTCTTTCTCGCTCTCTAAAAAAAAAAAAAAAAGTAGATAAACCTTGGAATTTATTATCCTTTAATTGATTTAGTAAACGGAAACATGATTTATCGAAAAGATAAAAACAGGAAGACATTTTGATTTCGATTTTTGAATTTTATACATTTTACTTGGATATGTTGTTTTACAGATAAGATCATGTTTCAGCAAGAGTTTTTCTTCTATTCTGCCATTTCCTTAATTGTAAATTAGGAATAAAATGTGCAGTTTCATGCTGCTATTGTAGTAAATTTCTATTTGAAGCTTCTAGTGTATTGATTAAAACAGTGCAGAAAATATGGAGGACTTGAAAACTTCATAAAAAAAAAAAACTAGCTCGTAAGGAATGTCCGAAGTGACAGTGTTTGCACGTTAATCCACACTCATCTTACTTCCAGTGTCCTGTTTGCATTATTGCTGATTGTGTTTTCCAAAAATCACTGCATTAATATCTCCCACATCACATGCTCCCCTGAAATATGATTTTGCCACTCCCATCACGAGGTAGAATTTGCCTTCCCTTGAATCTTAGTTGGCTTTAGTGATTATTTGACCAATAGAACATGGCAGAAGTAACATTTTGATACTTTCTAGGCTTGTTCATAAGAAGTCTTAAAGTTTCCACCTGAGTATC